TTATCTATTTCTAAACCTATTTCTAAACAGTTCTTTTATTTTTAGTATCTCTATTATTATAGTGAAATTTAGAACAGACTTGTATTTTTTTATTTACAAACAAATTACAGTAATTATTAACATAAGGAACATAAGCTCGGAATAAAATTATTTGATAAATTAATAAGAAGAAGACAATATTTTTTCTTTAAGAATAAAAATAATATAATGAATAAAAACATATTCCTTCTTGAAGACTATAATTTGTGTAAATAATATTTTACTTTATTATTTGAAAAGACAAACATTTTGTGTGGAAAAATTAAGTATACATGTATATATACTAGCGGTAGACTATACATATAGCCACTTTACTAACGAGCCATCTATGACCTTACCTTTGTTATCGCACATCAAATTCGCATATTTATTATGATCTCAGCTAGATTCGTTGCCAGTACTTGACTAACTCTCGATGTAGAACTCAAAATTGTGATCGCATATATTTCTCTTAATAATGACTTAATTATTATAGAAATATCAATCGTAAATTGCCACAAACAATAGAAGTTAATCACACAAACAGTTTCTATTCAATGTAAGTAACAGTAAATAAATTTAATCTGACTGATATAAGAAGTAAAAATGATTTTCACATATATTATATATGATTAAATAAACTTGAATGAACTTGATTGAATAAAATTTTTAATTAAAGTATTCTGATATTTTCATTACACAAATACTGACAAATAATTTCGAATTAACAATATATTTTTAAATACAGAAATGACATAATATAAACAATTTTTAGAAACGCTGGATCTTAGCGTTCTTAATAATTTCTTATTTATTTTATATGTAAATTCAGTAGCATTTTGCTTCTTGTTATCAATTATCAGCATTACTTGTATAAAATTTGAAATTTATTCACTTCTTTTTTTTGTATGTCTATTTTATATATCTATTTTAAGAGAGAAAAAAGAATTAAATCTTTAAAATTTAAGTAAACATGAGCTAATAGTAATAAAGTTTTTTATATATAAAGTTTCATTGCAATGCAGAGACTAGTTGCTCTGTAAATAAAAATTAAGTTTTTATAAAAATAAATAGAAATAAAATTTTCATAAAATTGGAACACATTATGCTTTAACAGATAAAATAACAATTTGTTATTTGTTTATGAATAATGTAGAAAGAAAGTAAATTTTAATAACCGATGTTTAGATAATGTTAAATTATTATTATATTATTTCAAAATTGATTTAAAATATTTAAACTTTATAGGAATTTACACACACACATATATATATAAAATTTAATAATATATATATATATATATAAATCTTAAAAGAAGAGAAGAATACAGTTGTATTTATAAATTGTAATTTAATGTTATATTTATTTTATATTATAATTACAATATATAAAAAATAGAAAAAATAGATCAAGTTAAAAATTTTCAATATCGTATTCTCTATTTTTTGTAATAAAATGTAATAAAAAATTTATATTTTTTTTTACATAATAATCAAAATTATGTCGAGATAAATTGAGATATTCTAGAAGAGAAAGAAACAAATATCTTTTTTCAACATATAAAAATATGTTTGCAACAAAAATACATGAAACGTCCGTTAAAATATATTTAAGTCTTACTAAAAATGTACAAAATATGTTTTATTTCCTTTGCTTTTTTCTTTATGTATATGTGTTTGTTTATGAACAATAATATGTGAACAATAATATCCATATTAAGAGAAAAGGAAGAAACCGATTTCGAAATCCAAAATAAACATTACTGATATCGATAAAGCCTTTACTTCGCATTACATTTTGTCAATATTTTTCTTTTCTGTGACAAAAAAAACATTACATTATTACAGATATCTGAAATGACAATCACCATGGAATTATTAAAATTACTCTTAAGTATTAATTTAATATTTGTCGCTCTAAACGATGCTATTGACAATGATACAAAAAATAATGTGTATGCAGATGAGCAATTTATCAAACCATTTGACAATTATATTCACTTTATACCATTCATCGAAAATATTTCAACTGTAAAAAAATTCAATTTGTATGATATGCATAATATATTTAAATCATATATAAACGAACAACGAGCAAAAGGCAATACCCTTTTTTATGGTAATCTTTCGTCATATTTTCATGTTTCTGATAAAACAAACTTAATACGTTTGAATGTATTAAATCTGAAAATAGACGAAATAGGAACTGAAGTTTTTAATTTGAAAGATCGTAAAGTGATAAAACCGATAATGTATACATATGATAATAAAACGCAAACAGTTGTCATTACCTTTGATCACGAATTTTTATCATATCATCTCTACCATCTGATAATAAACTTTGTTGGAATTATGATTAACGTAAACAATTATTGGAAACCAAATTCAACTGATACAGTGTGAGTAGAGCACTTTATAAATGTAATAAATTTAAATGTTAGAAACTAAAATATTATTATAAAATATTATTATAAATCTTACTTCCTTTTTATTCGCTTATATATTTGATTTCAATTTAGTTAAAGATAACGATTTAAACGATGTAATAAACATATTGATATATACAAATTGAAAAACGTATAAATTACAATACTTTATGTTATAAACGTATGTTTTGTCTAGAAAATATGTCTAATGCAGTAATACGATATAATAGGAGATATTGAAGAGATGTTATGCTTGAAGTCACATAAGTGGCATTTCAATAATCTCTAACATTCACATGTTATATTAATAATTAAAATTTAAAAATTTATTATTATTAAAATGTCACAGGTGGTTGATCGCTGCACCGGATTTATATGGAACAGGTGCTCGTCCTGCATTTCCATACTGGGACAAGCCGGAGAGAAATTATTTTTCTATCTCCATACAGCATTGTTCAGATTATAAAATTGTAACAAATATAAAGATTTCCAAAGAAATTAGAGATAAAGACAAAACCTTTACAATGTACAATACTGTTAACATCTCCCCTTATCTCGTAGCGATTGTATTGCACAAACTCGACCGTCTTAATATCGCTAATACCTCTTGCTTTAATTATAAAATTTACGATGACGACATGCCTGTCAAAGTGAACATCCAAATTTGGAATAAAGACAAGTTTTGCTGTTTAGATTTCATTCGATGGATGACTAAAGCTTCCATAGAATACTTACAAAAAAACATGTCTAAACTATTTCCACGAAATATAAAGATTATCATAGTACCGAATTTTCGAGATGAAGGTGTGGAAACACAAGGACTCATTCTTTATAGGTATTGTGTATAAACAAGAAACTTGACTTAAGAACAATAAGAACTATATAATTAATTTATGTCAATACCTTAATTCAAAATTATACAACGATTAAAATAATGATAACTCAAAATAGTGACAGCTTAAAATTTAGATGATAAAGATTAAACTTCATAGTTATAATATACAAAGATATTCCTAATTACATTATATTTCAGTGAGGAAGCTGTTGTTTACGATGTAGAATATCGTTCCGTTGCACATAAAATGACTCTGGCATTCACAATAGCGCGAAAATTAGCATATCAATTCTTTGGCAACATGATCGGACAATCTTGGGGATCGTATTTATGGATAAACGAGGGTGTTGCCAATTTTTTAGGAATGAAGATTGTTGGCAAGGTTGTTTTTGTTATAAACTTTTGATTACATATTGTTAGAATCATATAAGAGGAATTAGAATCCTAATATATAAAAAAATCTTTAATGATCGATTATTATCTATTAAATATCATTATAACTTAGAATTAGCAAATATTGAAAAATCAAATTTTCCAAATTTTACATGTATATGTATAAAATATAAAAGAAATTTGTTAATATTTATATTATAAAAATTAGTTTCTTGATTTAAATGATGGTAAAGTCCCGTTCAATTCTATGTAATTTTATTTAAGGTTTTATTATACTTCTTAAATATATTGTTTGAGAATGAAAAGAATTATATGATATTGATAACAACTATTATATTGTATTACATTAAATCGATTAAAATCGATTTTTGCTTGTAGATACTTAATAATACGCTAAATGAATATTTCGTAGTGCAATTTCTACAGGAGTCTCTTCATTTGAATGATTATTACGATATGCCTCTTGTATCAAAAGTCAACGAATCTGACATTAATTTACTGTTTCCTTTTACTCGATATGTTAAAGGTAAGACTGAATATACAGTTAAACCATTATTTGCAAAAAATTTTTAAGCTTTATTTTTATAACGTTTTTACAATGTTTTCAAACTCAGGCATTATATAACAAAAAACTACTTAAATAATAATTTAGAACTTAATTAAATTTATCTGCAATTTATTTATATAATTTTTACGTTATTGCAAAAAACATATGTATATATTATCAAAACTTAGTACTTATCTTCTTTTACGGAATTAATTACGTATAGAATTTACATTAATTACGTATTATCAAAATTATAATTGATTTAGTTTATATAACCATGCTTAATTATCTTTTATGATATTAATTGCTATAGCACCTGTTTTCATACGCATGCTGTCACGAATACTTCCCAAAGATGTGTTTATATCAGGTCTCAGTCGTTATGTAGCTCTCCAGTGAGTATTAATCATAAGATATGTTACATATTTAATCATGTATTATAATAATTCCAATAAATCATGTAAAGTACTAAATCATGTAAATTACTAAACTAACACATGAATAAATGGATTAAATAATATATTATAATATATTATATTATAATATATAATTATATTATAATATATAAATAATATATTATAATAATATATTATATTTCTAGTGTCCTTTGTATAATTTTTTATGTCATATTTTAATATAAATTTAATATACATAAATTTTTACAACTTTAGTCAGGATAAATCTTTCGACATATCGAATAATATTTCCAACAAATTCTTCAATATTATGCAAGAAACTTTAAAAAGTATTTATAAGGAAAACAGTATGAATTTAGAAAGAAAGATGAATAACTGGATAACACAAAAACGCTATCTTATATTAGATGTACAAACGATACAAAATACAAGCGAAGTTATAATAACATTATCACAAAATAATTCCAATAAATCATTTCCAAAAGGTTTATGGATTCCTGTATCATATATTAGGCAAAGTCAGCTTAGGTCTGTATTTAAACATTGGTTATATTGCCAAAAA